CTTGTACTTCAGTAAAAAGTAGAAGTACTCAGATCTTGTACTTGAGTAAAAGTAGAAGTACTCAGATCTTGTTCTTGAGTAAAAGTAGAAGTACTCAGATCTTGTACTTGAGTAAAAGTAGAAGTACTCAGATCTTGTTCTTGAGTAAAAGTAGAAGTACTCAGATCTTGTACTTGAGTAAAAGTAGAAGTACCAGAGTGTAGGAATACTCTGTTACAGTAAAAGTCCTGCATTCCAAATGTTCCTCAAGTGAAAGTAGAAAAGTATTATCATCAAAATATAGTGAAAGTAGAGACAGTAAAAGTAGTCGTTGTGCAGATTGGTCCATTTCAGAATAATATCTATGATATGTTTTATAATGATTGATCATGAAAGTGTTCTCAAAGCTGGTAAAGCTGCAGCTAGTTTGAATGACTTTGTATACTGCAGGGTAGCTGGTGGATTTACTCCAGGTGGAACTAAAGTCTGATTTAACACTTGATTATATTTCACATCATTCATCCACATCTGAGAAGTAACTAAAGGGATGAAAAACTGTTTTATTTACTGGACCTTTAAGACCTCTGTTGTTGTGATGATTTAGTAGATTCAGCTTTCTACATTTCCAGGAATGAAAGCTCAGCTAATAGGAAGCGTCTCCGCCTCAGATAACCTCTGACCTGCTGCACACACACCCACACACACACACACACACACACACACACACACACACACACACACACACACACACACACACACACACACACACACACACACACACACACACACTCATCACACACACTCATCACACACTCCTCCCACACTCCTCCAACACTCCTCCCACACACACTCATCACACACTCCTCCCACACTCCTCCCACACACACACACACACACACACACACACACACACACACACACACACACACACACACACACACACACACAAATGCACGCACACTCCTAACACACTCATCACACACACTCATCACACACTCCTCCCACACTCCTCCCACACACACACACACACACACACGCACGCACGCACGCACGCACGCACGCACGCACACACACACACATACATGCACGCACACTCCTCATACACTCATCACACTTGGGCAATTATCAACGCAATAAACTGTATTTCATTTAGTCTTAATGTACATTATTTCATTTCATATTCTATTTACATGTTTATAGACTTCTTGCAATCTTTTTTATTTATTCTTTTGTATTTTATTGTATATGTTGCATCATTGGAGGAGCTCAGGTCAGAAGAATTTCATTGCCATTTCTACACTGTACTGTAGCTTATACGTGCATATGACAATAAAGCCTTTGAATTTTGAATTTGAATTTTAAATTTGAAAGTTGCGTTAATTAGCATTTAATTTATGTTGTCAATTGTAAATCAAATACTTGGTAGATTTGGACACTTTGGGAGTGGTTTAGGAGGCTATTGGGGATGCTGAAGTCTATTTCTGATATTTTCAGGATCAACAATGGCAGTTTGAACCAGAAAACGTCCATATCTGTGCTCTCTGTGGGCGGATTTTGACTACCATGAGTAGTGTTGCAACCATTGGATATATAGTAGAGAGCTCAAGATGATATTTAGTACCTCAACTGTGGACAATCATTTTCTCAAATACATAGGCAATCTGTCCAATTTTGGATTCTGAAAATGTCATAAATGGATTCAGCATCCTCAATAACCCCCCAAACACTCCAAAACTGTCCAAGCCATTGTTTAACTATAGTCCACTATATAGGCTATAATGCTGATTAATGCTAACGCAACTTATGCTAATTGTGCACGTTTCCCAGTTAGCATCCGGCAGCTTCTATGTGCTGGGGACCCGTACTGTACATGTAAATCATAAAACTTTGGGCTACTCAACATTTCCGGTGTGGACAAAAGGTAAAAAATGGCTTGTCTGATTTGGACAGAGTGTTTTTGTGGGTTATTGAGTCAATTTCTGGATAAAAATGGCAGATTTAACCTGAAAATAGCCATATCTGGACTCTCTGTGACTGTGAACATTATGCATTTTACCTTTTAATCAAACACTAACTCCTGAAGTAGACAGCATGCCCCCCCCCCCACTCTCTTCCTCAGATTATAAGACCTCCCCTCTCAGAGTCTTTATCTCCATTCAGGAAGCGAGCCGGCACAATGAGACATTTATTCAGTTTTCTTACAGCTCGTTAATCTCTCAGAGACCATCAATCGTTCTCTCTGAGTGACAGCCAGCACAATGCGAGGCTCTGAGAGGAAGAGGAAGAGGAAGAGCAGATTAAGATCTGCTGCACCAATCAGGGGCTTTTCCCAGGGCCAGAATGTGTGTTCTTAAATTCCTCTATTTGCAAAGTGTGTGTACGTTTCGGTGATTTCCTTTTTTGTGGCTTCTGTTTTTTTTTCATCGGTTTGAACAGTGAATGTGTGTGTGTGAGTGTGTGTGTGTGTGTGTGTGTGTGTGTGTGTGTG